TGATCTCAGGGTGGGGAGACTGAAGCCCCCTGTCGGGCTCCAAGCTGGGCGTGGAGCCTGCTTAAGATTCTCTCTCTTCGTCTGCTCCCCACACCTCAAATAGAATAAATAAAAGGATAAATCTCTGTCTTACAATATCCAGCCTTCCACGTCACTACGTCCATTTGGGACCCAATTCTTCAGACCTGGTAAGTCTTCTTGATGGTGTATGGCTACCTCCTGGTCAAGTGGAAGCGGTCACAGGACACACACAGCAGGCTATTCGTACTGCCAAACAAGGCCAGTCTAAACACCAATCCCAGAGGCCCCCAGATGCTACAGCTTACACTCCTCCCTTCAGTGACCATTTAGGTCTATCCTGTGTCAGGCAGTGTCCTCCCATGAACCACTTAAAAAAACATTTTTTTTTCAGATGATTTAAACATTCTTAGTACGTGTGACCGCTGATTACTATGAATTACGTTGCTACCAACTCAAAAAACTCTGGTGAGCAAAAACGATGTGGATGCTCCAACGGTCCTTTGAAGCATGCAGGGATCCTCCTCTCTTCTCAGAGCCTCCACCAGCTTGCCTATTATAAACAGATGCACTCCCATTCTGCATTTCCCAGGGCTTCCGGGTTCGCTGAAGTCCTACTGGCATCTGGCCCATCCCCTGGCACAGCACCCTCTGTAGTGGCAGATCACACAGATTTGTCAAGAGTTTCATAATTTCACATACAGGCTTTCAAAACTCTTGGGTGGATTCCATCCTCGTCCAGTGAAATAGCAGATTTAGGTTCACTGAGGTCTAAAACACATCTCCTGCCTGAAACAATCTGAGAAGGGCACTGCTAACATCTGCGGCAGGAAAGAATGATCCACACGGTTCAGACTTTTTTCTTTAACCTCCCTTTCCTTGAGAGCCTTCCTCTGAGTCTCTATTACTCAATCCCTGCTCGCCAGGTCTTTCTCAATCCCTCCGATTTCAAGTCTTCAAAGCGCTAATGAAACGTCTCTTCAGCTCCCATACTCACCCGATCACGTCCACCCTTAGCCAGCGAGACATTGGCAACAGGGAAGGAGCAGAGTAAGGAGGTGGAGGAATCACAGTCAGTCCTAGATGAGAATGGGGATGATACTCCACTAAGTTATAGAGTCTGCCTTACCTGTCTGTACACCTCCTTGGCCCCCTAGGGCTCCCTCTTGTCCCCCATCCCTTCTTCCAGAACAGGTACCCTTCTCTCTGTCAGAGAGAGATGGAAAACAAATGCAGCCAGGAGATTCAAGACACCTGAACAATTCTTTCATTCTCTTCTTGCTACTTTAGCTTATTTCCTCTCGTTAGAGTGGAAATTCTTACACGGGACTCAATGAACACTTAGTTGAATAGTTTCAGATTGAAGTGTTTCTAAAGACTCACTCGGGGAGCTTGATAAAAATGCATACTCCTGGGGGAACCTGGGTGGCTCAGTCGGTTAAGCTCCAACTCTTGATTTCGGCTCAGGTCATGATCTCAGGGTCTTCGTTCGGATCAAGTCCTGTGTTGGGCTCCCCACTGGGCATGGACTCTGCTTGGGATTCTCTCTCTCCCTCTGCCCCCCACCTACTCACGGGCATGCACGCATGCTCTCTCTCTCTCAAAAACAAAAAACAACAACAACAAAGCAGATTCCTGGGTCCTATCCCCAGATTCTGGGGCCTAGTTTGAGAAAATTCCTCCCAAGGAATCCAAAGATGGTCTTTTTTTTTTTTTTAACTTAAATATTTTATTTATTTGAGAGTGAGAAAGGGAGAGGGAGAAGCAGGCGTCCTGCTGAGCGAAGAGCCTGACATGGGGCTCAATCCTGAGACTCCAGGATCATGACCTGAGCCGAAGACAGACACTTAACTGACTGAGCCACCCAGGTGCCCCCACAGATGGTCTTTAAGAGGCTCACAAATCTCAACTTGTAAGCAAAATTACACATGGGCGTGCATTTATGCGTGTGTGTGTGTGTATACATATACACACACACACACACACACTTTTTAGTAAGCTCTACGTCCAACATGGGTCTTGAATTCATGACCCTGAGATCAAGAGTCAGAGTCATGTGCCCTACCAACTGAACCAGACAGGTGCCCCTGTGCATACATGTTTTTACAGCAGAAGGGCCAAAGTTTTCATGAGATCATGCCTCCTAAAAGTTTAAGTAGCTCTGACTTAAGAAAGTACAATTCATGATCAGAGATTGAAGACAGGAAAAAAAAATGACTTTGGACCATTGATAACAATGCCCCTATCAGCATCCCTTGATTGGTCCTACTGCCACTGTTAAGAGAAAGGGAGAGAATTTGGCAAGGTCTGTAAAATCAGAAGGAACTGAGGCCCCAGGTGAGAAGCAGGACTCTGGGACTTTATGTACCCTGTCACCTTATGTTTCCATAATCTCTATTGTGCGGGTTTATCGGGAGTGGGAGAAAGTCATGTACGAGGCAACTTGCTGCTTTCCTAATACCTTTTCTACCGAGGGCCAAGTTAGTTCTGGGATGACCCAAGGGATCTGGCTGGTTAAGAGGTCTACAGTGGCCCTGAGCGAGATCTGACCCAACGCAAACAGAACTGATCCTCACAGTGACAGTCTAGAAGGGGAATTTTCTTCTTCTTCTTAACAAATTTCAGTAACCAGAGGTAGAACTAGGACCTTAGAGCCCTACCAACCCAGAACTTCCTCAGCCTTGGGCTGTGAAAGGTAAGAAGTTATATAAACACACAGGGTTCAAATTTTCTCCTCTGGAAATGAGGGGAGTTGAACTGAATTAAGCTCTAAGGCCCTGACAGCAATTCTCTCAAAGAATCCCTCTACTTTGGTAGAAGACCCCTCTCACCTGTAGTAGAAATGCACGGGGCTGAGGTGGCTGACTGTGGGCATGTAGGAATAGTAGAAGGAGCCATAGAGGAAGACAGATACCCAGAGCAGGAGGAGGATGGTACAGAAGAGCACCCCAAACTGTAGCAGCAGCTTGCGGGCACGACCTGCCAAGATGTGGCCCACCTCCTGGGCCCACAGTAAGGCAGGGACTGGTGGGTCATTGACCATGGCAGGGAGTACAGAGTGTCTGGCCCCAGGTTCAGGCCTTGAGTTCCTAGCTGCTCTGCCACCTGGACGCCACCCTTGGCCATGGGATGAAGCAGCTGGTGGTTCCTGGAAAAAGACAGAGAGGGGTAAAGAATGGCTCTTTTCCCAGGGAAGGTGGAGACAAAAACTGGACGGGCTTTGAGGAACCAGAGATCGCCAAACCCAGCCAAGTCTTTGTTTCATGTGGCTTTTCTCCAGATGACTGCGTTTCTCAACCAGTTACCCCTTCCCTTTTCCTTCACTGTGCTTTCTTCGGCCCCGCCGCCCCAACAACTCAGCTGAACTTGGCTTGTGGACACCTGATTCTGGGACAGGCCACCTTGATACTCATTCATAACAACATACAAAACACAGAGGCTGAGCACCTTAAAGGGCTTTTACACACAGGATGACACCGAGTCCACACCGCCAGCTGGCTGCACCGAGAGAATGCGCGACTGGCCTAGGGTCGTAGAGCCGCACTCAAAGCCGGCGGCTTAAGCACGGCCACAAGCGCCTCCCGAGTTTCTCCTCTTCTCCCAGAGCTGCGCTTGCTCCCCGACAACAGGGCCGCGCCCGCCGCCGGGCCGGGCGTCCTGCTGCCAACGGCCGTCCCCCCGCCAGCACCCCCTCCGGCTGGCGGTGGGCGCGGCGTCCGGAGCCCCCACCTAACCGCGCCAGCAGGGAAACCTGCACGCCAGCCGCCGCGGTTCTGCAGACTCACCAGCTCGCTGGCTGCTGAGGCAACGGCGAGAAGGGACTTCCGCCTCCCGCGGAAGCCCCGCCCCCTTTCGCCGGCCGCCTTTGTGGCGTGGGGGGCGGGACCTCATTCCAGGGCGGGGCCCGGCGCAAGGGGCGGGGCCTGCCGGGCGGCAGGTTTCCCACCTCGGCGCGCTGCGCACGGTCCCTCCCTACCGTCCCTTTCCCAGACCCGAGAGGACCGGCGCCTCCCTCCAGGCCTCAAGATAGGCCCCAGGGCACGCTATGAGTCAGCAGCAACCCCCTCAGCCTGCCCATCGAGGCCGCGATCCGGGCCCTCCACCCACACCTACACCACCAGCCATTTAAACCCCCGCAAAGGGGGAGAAGGGCGGGCATCCAGCTGGCGCTGATTTCTATCTCCTACAGCTCCTTGGACCCGTAGGCGTCCAAGGCAGAGAGCATCGCTGACTGGCTGGCTGGCCCCTATTACAAGAGTGACAGCATTTCAGCTCCCTGTTTTGTGTCCAGCATTTAGAATGTGATCGACCTCCTCTGAGCCTAACTGGACTCTCCCTCGGAATCCCCGCAGCGCGTTATGTACACTAGATTTTGGCAGACGGTACCTTCTGTTTTGTATATGACTATTCACCCCAAATAAGATCTCTCAGAGGGTAAGGTTAATATTGTGTACATCTTCGCATTCCACACAGCACCAAGCACAACCCTGCAGCCCTGGGATGTAGTCTCTCAAACCAATACCCACACTCCAAAACCCACTCTGGGAGCGCATCTATTTCAAGAAACATCCAAAGACTTCCCCCACAGTGCCCCCTACCTCTTCTTTGTCCGATTCTTTGATCTGGTATCTGCACACCTCTTTTCCCCCAGCTTCTCCTTGTTCTTTAGGCATCTTCCTGACGTACCTTGTTGCCCCTGGATCTTCCACTCGAGTCACTTGTGGCTAGAACATGAAGTGGTTGGTGATCTAGAAGCTGATACCTGTAGCTCATCACATTTTCCTGGTTATAGGGAATGGAGGGTCCCTGGGAAAGAAAAGAAGATTCAGGTGCTACATGCTATGTCAGAGCGGAGGGAGGAGGGAGGAGGGGGGTAACTGCCCAGCTGATGTCAGATTTTCAAATGAGCAGGGTCCCCCGCAACCAGTAGACTCCACTGCAGGCGATGTCACAGGTCCAGACCACCCCATTTAAGGCGGGGGGGGGGGAGTCTGCCTGGACCTCAGCTCCTTCCAGCTCCGTCCTAGTCCAGATTCAGAATGCCTGCAATGGGGGAAGGGCAGCCAGTGAGACAGTTCACAGTGGGGGGTGTGCGTAGGGGCTGCAGACAGCAGCCAGGCTCCCCCACTGGCCGGCAGTTGGTATGCTCCAGGATCTGAGCAGCTCCTTCTAGCATCCTTCATCCTTCAGGTACCAGCGTCTGGCAGTGCTTGAGCTGCAGGAACTGGGACCAGCCCTCGACAGACTTCTGACCTGACCTCCCCAGTGGACTTCTTTGTATTAACTGCTTCTGCTGCAGCAGCAGATACTTTCAGCTGCAACTCCCTGCAAGGTGGGGCACCCATCTCAGGTTTTGTGCACCCCACTGACTACTCCCCAGGGCTGCTGCTGCCTGTGGCCTCAGGTGAGTAGGGAAGATCCTGCTTTTCTTCCCCCTGGGGCTCAAGGGGGGCAGGGGGTGTTATGTGTCCTCATCAGGGCGGGGCTTTTTCTGGCTGACGCTTTCAAAGCTGGGAACACACATGGCTGGAAGGGCTGAAAAGCCTTAAATCATTTTTCTGCCTAATGATCTGTGGCCCAGGCCATGTGGGAGTTTGGGGGGCATTTCATCCCACCCTCTCCATTTCCTTAGCCCAGGAAGACGGGGATGGGAAAGGCCACTGGAAGATGAGGGTAAGAGGAACAAAATATTGGGGCATATGACCCCAGTCTTGTAAAGACTGATGAAAAAGGAGCACGGCGAGGGGGGTGTCTTCAGATGAGATTATGCAGCCCCTCACCCCCCACATCATGCTCTGAGCTATCCCTCTCTTTTATCCAGGATGAAAGGGGAGACCCCTGTGAACAGCACTATGAGTATTGGGCAAGCCCGCAAGATGGTGGAACAGCTTAAGATTGAAGCCAGCTTGTGCCGGATAAAGGTGGGCGGACCCTGGGTCCCATTAGTTGGCCCAGTTGTGCTGTAGGTCCCCAAATCTCAGGTTAAGAGATGTTTTCTTTCCTGGACTCCCTGCGATCAGGGGAGGAGTCTCTGGCTCTGTAAGGACAGCTGTCCCCTGGCCTCTGTGGGGGATGAGGGAAGAGAATACTGTCTTAAAGAAGCCCTAGAGATGGCAAAAGATAACCCATTTGGGGAGGGAGGCTGCAGTCCCTCTCAGGGGATCTGGCTAACAATTCCCCTCCTGGCTGTGCCCCAGGTGTCCAAGGCAGCAGCAGACTTGATGACTTACTGTGATGCCCACGCCTGTGAGGATCCCCTCATCACCCCTGTGCCCACTTCGGAGAACCCCTTCCGGGAGAAGAAGTTCTTCTGTGCCCTCCTCTGAGTTGCCCTGTCCCTCGGCACAAGCTCTGAACCTTTCCCTCTCCTAGGCCCTTCCTTAGGTCAGTAACTGTCGTGAGCCCCTGAGGGTCCCTGCATCCCATCCCTAGCCGTTGTCCAACCCTATGAGGTTATCTGAAGCACAAAGCTCTCCTTCACCATCTGTCGACCCCATTTCCTCGCCCACTGGGGCGGACCCCAAGTACCCCCTGACCCAGGGCCCCCTTAGCTCCATCCCCAGAAGGGCCGTTCAGACTCTGCCAGCGTCCTGCCGGCTTCTCTCTGTGACCCGCTCAGACAATGGAGAGAGGGATGGGCCGGGTGCTTGCTCTCAGTCTCACCTGGAGCTATGAGAAGGGTAAAGCCATTTGAAGAATAAAGTCATCCAGAGTCTCAGAGGACAGCTCCTGTGTTAAGCGTTCTTGGGGAGAGGATCATCAGTCTGTAGATCTGGGAGTGTGTGCGGCAGGTGAAAGGCTTGCCAGGCCCCAAGAATAGGGCCAGTCAAATTAGGTTAGACATTGTCTAGAATCGGAGATCGCCGGGATTGGGGGGATGGCGGGCGCGAGAGGGCGTCTCAAGTGGAAGAATTAAATTACAACAGACACTCAGAGGCTACGGAGAGCACTCACACACACACGCACGCACACGCGCGCGCGAAAGCACTGAACACAAGTGAAAATGAAAACAGACCGAACAGGGTTGATCTAGGAAGGGACTCCGAGGGTAGTCGCAACCGAGGAACTCTGGAACGGAGGGGAGGAGCTCGGCTCCAGTTCCTGCGAAGGGGGCCGGTTTTACTTCTAAGATGGCCGCGCCCACAGCGGGTCCCTTTCCAAGATGGCCACCGCCATGGGACCAGCGCCAATATGGCAGCCCCACGTCACTGGGTTTCACCGTACAGGGCTTGCGAGCTAGCCCCATATTTAAAATGGCGGCCCCAGGCAGCCAGAGTTCTCAATATGGTCTCTTGTGTGCTCATCTGGTCTCAAAATGGCTGCCCCTGCCCTTGCCAAGTCGATGCCCATTCCTACCCACCCCGCAGTGTGAAAGACGACGTCCCCCCCGATCCAGGTGATGGCACACGGGTGGCTCTAAGCAAAGATCATGGGACAAGAGGACCCTTGCAAGCACAGCGTAGCAGGCGCTGGTCGCACGGATCTTGCGAGGGAATCTAGGTTCTACAGCTTGCCAAGCAGAGGCTCCCTTTGGGGTGTAAACAGAAGTGTGCGGCCAGTGCCTGGCGCTGTTCCTCGGTTGCCTCCTGGTCTCCCTAGGAGCTAGATAAGCCCAAAATTGTTTCAGTTTGGGTTTCCTGGTAGGGCTTGCTGTGTTCCCATTTCTCCCTCAGGCTCACTCTGTCACATCCGCCAGAAGCAACGTCCCCACCCCTGGTGTGCCTACCAATCTTCGTAGCGGTCCCAGCTTGCCATCTGGCCAGAAGCCAAAACCAAGGCTTAATGTCTCACGAGCGCCTCCCAGACTCAGACTTGGCGGAGGTTTACAAGCCTGGGATGCTTTTCTAGAAGCCTTTTCCTTCCAAGGGTGAACATATGGAGGTGGGACTGGGGCCAAGGCAGGGAAGGTAACAACAGTCCCAGGGTGTCTGCTCCTCATGCATTATCAACATACCCCAAATTCAGGGATATATCCCTCCTGGGGGAAGCCCAGGCCAGCTTCTCTTTTATGTTGGGATACACTTTGGGCAGGGCACGTGGGTGATTCAGTTGATTGTGTGTCTTCAGCTCAGGTCATTGATCCCAGGGTCCTGGGATGGAGACCCACGTCGGGCTCCCTGCTGAGGGAGCTTCTCCTTCTCCCGCTTCCCCTGCTTCTGGTCTGTCAAATAAATAAATAAAATCTTAAAAAAAAAAAAAAAGATACACTCTGGGGGCGGGGGGGAAGGAGCCACCCAGCAGTAATATGAGGTATTAGGGATAGCCATCACCCCCAGTTTCCCCACATCTTTGCACAGGAGAAAGCAAGGGGAGAGGAATGCAGAGAGGAAACCAAAGGAATAAAGGGCATTCATTCTACCAGGAATTGAACTTAGTCTTCTATGGATATCTCCACAGGTCTAGGGGCACCCAACGAACTTGGGGCATTTTCAGGAACAGCAGCTTTCCAGCTGTTGATGAATTTCTGAGCCCTAACAGGTCCTGAACGTCATCTACCTACCTCATCCTAGAGATGAAGAAACAGAGAAAGTAACCTGTTCGCCCTCTTGAAGTGGGGGCCTACCCCCATTCTGTTCAGGAGTCCCCATTAGTTCCTTCTTGGTGTTTCATCAAAATTCCTTAACAGATGGTTTGTTCTTTTTTATCCTTTTGAAGACTTATTTATTCTTGGGGGGGGAGGGGCAGAGGGAGAGAATCCCAAGCAGATTCCCTGCTGAGTGCAGGGCGTGATGTGGGGCTCAATCTCATGACTCATCAGATCATGACCTGAGCCAAAGGCAGACACTCAACGGACTGAGCCACCCGGGTGCCCCAAGGATCAAGTCTGTTTTAATCCCTGCATCCTGAAAGTGTCTGGCACATAGCTGGCATGCAAATATTTAACGAATGATTGTACTATATATGCTTAAATAGCAAGCAATACAGAGCAGACACTAAGAACCTCTTTCTTTTTCTACTGCATCACAGTGTTGGGCAAATGCCAGGACAGTAAATGAAAATTTCCGTATCAGCTCAGACTTGGTAAAAAGCCAGAAAAAAAGTGCTCAATAAATGTAATCTTGATATTAGTTGTTTTGTTTTTTAAGCCTCTGCTCAGTTTTTCTGAGCAATTTTCATACTCATCAAATTGGGGGTGAATGGTTGCAGCCCTATTTGGGCACAAAGGGGGCTTAAGAGGTTACCAGATGGGTGGCTCAGTCAGTTAAGCACCTGCCTTCGGCTCAGGTCACGATCTTAGGGTCCTGGGATCCAGTTCTGCATCGGCTCCCTGCTCAGCAGTCTTGTTTCTGTTTCTCCACCTCCCCCACTTGTGTGCATGCTCATGCTTTCTCACACAAAAATAAAAAATCTTAAAAAAAAAGGTTACCAGAGACCAGGCATTAACTATAAATAACCATTAAAAATGATTAATTAGCGGGCCCCTGGGTGGCTCAGTTGGTTAAGTGACTGCCTTCGGCTCAGGTCATGGTCCCGGAGTCCTGGGATTGAGTCCCACATCGGGCTCCCTGCTCAGCAGGGAGTCTGCTTCTCCCTCTGACCCTACCCCCTCTTGGGCTCTATCTCACTCTCTCTCAAATAAGAAAATCTTAAAAAAAAAAAAAGATTAATTAGCTCTAAAACTGACTTTAGGATGCCTGGGTGGCTCAGTTGGTTAAGCGACTGCCTTCAGCTCAGGTCATGATCCTGGAGTCCTGCGATCGAGTCCTGCATCGGGCTAACTACTCGGCGGGGAGTCTGCTTCTTCTTCTGACTCTCCCCCATCTCATGCTCTCAGTCTCTCAAATAAATAAAATCTTAAAAAATTAAAAAAAAAAATAAAACTGACTTTAAATATTCCAGAGAATGGGCAAACACTGAAATCAAGGATAGCCTCTACCTATACAAAGCTGTAAGCTCCCAGGGTCCGAATCTGTGTCCCACACAGAGAGGAGTTAGAACAGGATCTGTATCTTTTATATCACTATCTTTCAACACACTGGTTGTGAGCCTGTGGCATCTCAGCCTTAGTAAGTCCCTGACCATTTATTACAAATTACAGTTAGGATCAGTTCAGTGCTAGCAACACAATAGTGCTTTTGTTAAAGTTACCTTCTCATTCTCCAAATTTACTATGAAGTAACCCCCATCAACCATCTTCCACGGAGTAAGGCTTTTCCTAAGTGGTAATGACTCATTAATAAACTTATTTGGGGTGCCTGGGTGGCTCAGATGGTTGAGCCTCTGCCTTCGGCTCAAGTCATGATCCCAGAGTCCTGGGATCGAGTCCCACATCGGGCTCCCTGCTCCTTGGGAGCCTGCTTCTCCCTCTGCCTCTCCCTCTCTCTCTCATGAATAAATAAAATCTTTAAAAAAATAAAAATAAAAAAATAAATTTATTTGGCCCCCAAATGGAACCTTACATTTAGCTTTAAGCATCCAACTGGTTTTAGTATAGGCCAAGTACAGAGAGGTCATGACTTACAATTTACTTCTTTCTACTCCAATGGCTCAAGCACTCAGCGAAAGCAGGCCACTAAGGGAGCTAACAACCCTCAAGTGAAGGCATTGCCGGCTCCCAAGTGATTTGTAGAATAGGAAGGGAAGAAGAGCCATGCAAGAGGAAAGCCATTGTTGGTTGGACCCAGTACAACTTGAGAAAGCAGCATCAACAATCAGTCAATCCCCCCAGATGACACACTCCGCCCCAGTCAGTGCAGCCACAGGAGATAGGGTGAATTCAATCCAAATGGTTATTTATTCTAAAACTGGAAGCTACTGTGCCTACATTTTCGCCAGGATGTAATGAGAACAGGGGAGGAAAAAGTTACAGATGTAAACAATGACACAGTTACATTTTTTTTTTTTAAACGGTAAAACCCTTTTTTACTGGCCACTTCCAAGAATGCTTTACAGGTTGTGCAAAAACATTTACAGGCTCCATGTGGTGTGCGTTTCCATCTACAACAACTACAACAGACGTCTGATAAAACACTAAACAAATCCTCTAAGGAAAACAAGGCTAGGGATCCCTCCTGGTAACCCACATTTCCCCCCCTTAACATCGTTTTTTCACAATAAAAAGACATAAACAAAACCCAGACATCTACCGTTGTTGTAAGTGATCTCTTGGGTTAAACCAACAAGGATGTGGCAGTTTCACTCTCCATCCATCAGAAAAACAGCTTTTTTTTTTTTTTAAAGATGACTTTCTGGTGTCAGAAATTAACAGCAAGTCCCTCCCCTAGCCCTCCCCCACCCCCCGACGACCTCCAGACGGCTTGAGTTTTGGCCCCCTGCCCCGAGGGCCCAGCATCCACAAACCACGTCAGAGACTATAGAGAGATGCTATTTGCTGGAGGACGGAACATTTGGAAAAGAGATGGCAACTTCTGCCTCAGATTCAATTTTCTATCGTTACATAATCTTGCCCTACGGGAATTTCTTTGGGCTCCAGTTTTTACCTCCGTGCCTGACACTACGAGCAAAGCTTTCTCAGACTCCCTTAATAAGTAGTTAGTGGATTACAGCAAAGTTCATGCAATCACTCCACCCACTGCCACACGCAAATCCATGAGGGCACAAGGAAGCAGGCACCAACAGAAAGGACATCATTAGGAGCAAGCCGACTTCCTACCAGCACCCCTTGCTAGTCTTGGGGGCAGAGGTACTTGCGGGGCAGAAGGGTGTATGGGACAGGGGTGACTGGAAGACTAGGATGTGGGCCTGCACGCCTAGAGGAGGG